GGTCCTCGCCGTACACTAAAATTCCTCAATGCGTTCGGGTGGTTACCAAGTAAGGACCCTCATTATTGCTTACTGTGTAATGTTTGGTGCATATTTTGAGCACTTGTTATGGATATTAGAAAGTAGCAATTTCTTTTCACTGATATTCATGCACCCGTTTGACTAGCGTTATACGAGAATAATTAGCGATTTTTTGCTAAAAACCCCCCCCCCCGCGCCCCCCAGCCGTCACGTGCGATTAGAATGAAAACATATCCCAGAGAACAGACCAACTCGGTAAATAAGTGTTATTAACCCCAGGTTCATTTTGCGCCGGAATTGTCCTTTAAGTTAAAGAGTACCCGTTGAGTTCTGAGATCAGTTAGAGACTGAGCTTCCACACAAACACAGGCATACACCGACTGCTGGGACTGGTGAAATCACAGCCAGTACTCAAATGCACTGACTCCAGATAGGATTTTGGTATTAAAAAAAAAAAAACACAGGCTTTACTTGCCAAAATGGGTTAGGCACACACAATGTTAATCAGAGCAGGCAAACAAGTCCAACAGGGAAAAGGCAAGGCAGGGTCAAAAAACAGACAATGAGGGGAACTAATGAGACACAGGTGACAGTACTCATGGCGAGGCAAACAATCAAAACTGGAGGGAAAAAGACAAAGACAGGCAGTAAAGTAGAACAAGACACAAGAGGAGGAAAACTACAAACTAAAAAAGGAAATAAAGAAACAAAACAAAACAAAAACACCATAATACCCTCAGAAATGGAGCTGGCCTGTGAAACGATTTTGGTGTAGTGGCCGCAGTATTTCAACTTCTGCGTTAATCACATGACACCCATTGGCCCAAAAAGTAGTTTTTACATACACAATCAAAGCTGCTGTAAAATGGTGAACGCACAGACTGCACAAATGGTCCAGTGGTCAAATTTTTTCAAATAACGCAAGGCACAAAATTCTGAATATCTGAACACACTTTAAGAAAACTGTCATCTTCTCCACCTCAGGTCAACCTCCTGTCTGAAAGAACTATCAGTATCAGGAGCAAAGTCTCCAAGATGGTGGTAGTAATCGTCCTCCTCTTCGCTGTCTGCTGGGGTCCCATCCAGATCTTCGCTCTCTTTCAGTCTTTCTACCCAAACTACCGGCCCAACTACGACACATACAAGATCAAGACGTGGGCCAACTGCATGTCCTACGCCAACTCTTCTGTCAACCCCATAGTTTACGGTTTCATGGGAGCCACTTTCCAAAAGTCCTTCAGGAAAACCTTCCCATTTCTGTTCAAGCACAAGGTCAGAGATAGCAGCATGGCTTCGAGGACTGCCAACGCTGAGATAAAGTTTGTTGCTGCAGAGGAAGGCAACAATAATAACGCAATGAATTGAATTTGACAATTAAAAATAGGAAGAATGAGATTATTGTTTGTATCCGGGTCAAACGCTGCAGAAAGAAAATTTAAATAATGACAATTTTCCCACCCTGGGTTCATTGTGTGTGAAAATCTGCAACAGCAACTGGCAGATTTTAAAAAAGGGCTGACCCTGTGTGTTTGGCAGACACATTTATGTTATGTTGAATGAATACAACTAATTAATGAATTGATGTGTGGACACGCAGACTCATAATACGGACAGACACACAGTGTTTGGCACAATACGTTAGATGTTCTGCTGCCAAGGCCAGGTGGTGTTGGCACATAACATCATTCAAGATGCCAAATAACAGAGGACAGTCGTACACATCTGATGGCAGCAGTGGATAAGGTTGCCTGAAAGTCGCAGGCGGGACTCTTAATCCATGCAAGATCATGGCTGACAAGTTCTACAGCTTTGATAACAAGTCAGCATTGGTACAGTTTATGATATTATGTATTATAAGACAGACAATTGAATGGACAATTGATACTCTAGAATAGATTCCTATGGCATTTATGTGGTTGTCATTTGTTCCCATCACTGAAGAGAAAGATAATAACAAAAGAGACACTTTCTGTATCTGTCGTTCTGAGAAACTGTAACACTATAACATTTTTAAAGGATTAGTTTGAGATTGAGATTTTGGTTTGAAATATTCCTTTTGGCTTTCTTACAGAGAGTTACGTGAGAAGATCGTCACTGCTGTCATATTTGAAGCTGGAGCCAGGAGGTGATTAGTTTAGCTTAGCATAAAGACTAGAAGTGGGGGGAAACTGCTAACCTGGCCCTGTCCAAAGTTAAAAATATACCAACACCTCTAAAGTTCATAAAGTAAGAGATACACAACAACATACAACATGTCAGTTAGTAATCTTGAGGTTTTGGTAGGCATATTTTCTAATTTTGGACACAACAAAGCTCGTTCATTTCCCTCAAGTGATTTACTCTGTAATCATGCAACCCTCTTTAGTTGTCTTTAACCTGAGCCGTACGTATGCGCATGAAGGTCACTGTTTAAATCACGTTTTCAAGTGTGGCCAATTTTGCAAATATCTCTCTGGTGTCGTTAGGGTGTACTATAAAGCAAGTTCAACATAGCCAGGCTTTCTTTGCCTTAGCTGGTCTCGACAAAACCTAAAACCCCAGTCAGAGATATTGGGTATCACTGTTAACCCAGGCTTTTTTTCACATGCTCTGTGCCTGCCTAGAAGAGAGCCACCTTCGTGACATTAAAAGCTCTGGCTTTGGGCTCAACATACCTCGCTAACCGACTTGCTTTGTAACACACCCCATCAGTTGTGAAACAGGAAGGGGGTGTGCTGCAAAGCAAGTTGTTTAAGGAAGTATGTTGAGGAGGTTAAAGTTATGCTTTCCTGAGAATCCAACGATGGAAAGCCCGATTCCAGTTGAATGGGAGTGTCTCTGCTGGTAAATGTGATGAGTGGGAGCTGGCTGGAGCAAGGGTTACGGCCAGTGAAGCATGGACAGTGATTACCTTTCTTTTGTGTCCTACACAAGCAATCACACCTTCCTCAATACATGTGCACAAGTAGGCACGCACATACACCTTCACCCAGAATATCCAGGTGTTAGTTGGAACACAAGTTGTTATATCTTTGAGAAACACCCTTGTGTGATCTTGTCAGACAGACTAAATTACAAATAATGTAGGCGAACCATATAGCCTTTGCCCTGCATTTTGAAGGAGAAGTTGTTGAGAGAGCAGCTGTCTGGTGTTGGAAATACAGCCAATCATTGTTGATAAATCTACAAAGCCCCTGCCAGCTCTCCACTTTCTAGATGCAGTCCTTTATATATTTATCCCACACAGTGACATTCAAAATCAGAACTCCAGTTATGGCCCATAGAAAATCTGCTAATGTAATCCTCATTTGAATTGTAGATATTGTAGGACTTCAGGGCTCAATTTGAATTACATTAAAGTGTCTCAAAAGGAAAACCATCTGGGCTGCAATAATTAGCCATGAACAGGTAACCAAAGGTACTCGAGGGTTGTTGTTAATTGAGATAACACTTTGGGACATTATATGACAAGAAGTGGACAAACCTTACACAAAGGTGGCTATTACCTTAAGCTATGGCCACTTTTCTATAACTAAAGATGTAACCTAACATGTTCAGTAGTTAGTAATTATATTTACCTCTAAATATATATTTTAATTAATGTACCTTGTAGCCACACAAAACTCACTCAAGTTTTTACTTTAACTGAAAAAAACACCTTGACATTAACTTCATTTAAATGGATTTGATTGGCTCTATTTTAGCAGGGAGTGATTAGACCTCCATTTATATAATTATAATTTTCTAAAAGGCAGCCAACAAAAGTAAATGTCACTAAGTTAATTCAGCCTGGAATAAATGACGTGGTATAAAGGGTTTATTTCTATCTGAGTCTATTGTGTCTACCGTGTCTAATGTCTCCTTACTGCTTATTGGGTTTTTAATGAATGCGAATTGTGATGCATTTCTTTTTCAGACTATTGTACATCCATTAGGACCGAGGTCATCAATAATCTGTGTGTTTTCTGCTTTATATTAAGTATTCTCTTATACCTACGCTTTTTCTGAGATTGTGATTCTACTACATGTCTGTTCTGGTTGTTCAGCAATATTTTCAATTAAGCTTCAACCTTGAACAATAAAACAAACTGACCATTAAATGTTTGGGTAGGCCATTTTTAAACCAAGAAGGTCATTGTGGGATGATTTGATCATTTCTCAGGGTGTGTGAAATTATGTCTGCAGTTAAATTTACTTTTAACTTTTGAACATGTAATGGAGGTATTTAAAACTGTAACTCATTTTGTTGGTACCAATCATGCATTACCCTGCAAATACAGATATAGCTAGAGAGATATAGCTTGTAGAAACATAGAAATCGTAGTACGGTGGCCCAGAGATGTGAAATGAAAGGTACTTTTGCCTTCGAGTTGTGGGCTTTTGCAGTTCGTTCGACACCTTTGGGCCACTGTAGAGGAGCCCTGCATAACGTCATATTAGCTGAGTTAAACCTAGAAACAGTGTTTTTCTTTCTTGTTGGCCATTAAACAAAAAGGACCTGTCTGCTTACTGGTTGATTGAATACATTATTACACCCTAATTAGTAAATCAAAAACAATTGCCTGCTGTAGAATTGGGGAGCCAAAAAAAATAATGAAAAGGTCCTTTCACATTAGCTTTTACTCTAGTACTAATTATAAGCATGCAATAGCACCTTAGTGACATATTTATCATAATTAAAATGATAAAAAAAGGTATAAAACTAATTGTACCTCATTTAGTATATTCAATTGAAGCAGATGAGATTTTTAGGGGCTGTAGGGTTGGCAATGTCTGTGGTTGGTCTTTTCACCGGTTAGGATATGTCTGAAGACGGTCATGATGATTACCTGATTTTTCACAGCCACCAGCAGGTCAAAGTTTTAAATTATCCAAGGAAGTATATGCATATCTGCTAGATGGATTAACTAAAATTTTGTAATTTTTTTCTTCTTTCAGAGCAACTACAAGGTTTTTATTTTTACTGTAATGTCTCAACAACTACTTGGATGGATTGCCATTTAATTTTGTTCAGACATTCTTGGTCCCCACAGGATGAACTGTAATAACCTTGGTGATCCATTAATTTTCATCTACCACTGTAATCATGTCAAAAATTTAAATTTGTACAGTACTTTGGTTAATTATCAGCCTCAGCTGTACTTTGTTTTAAGTGCTGATCAGCAAATGCAGCACTCTAAACTAAGATGGTGAACATAGTGAACTTTACACCTGCTAAACATTAGCATGTTAGGATTTTCATTGTGAGCAGGCTGATGTTAGTCTTCTGCCCGCACTTCTTTGCATACATAGCTCTGCAGCAAGCTAAACAAAACATACCAGACACGTTGGTCGCTGACCAATCATAGCTGCCGTTTTTTTCCGACTTGCGTGATAATATCAGGAGACAGGTGCTACTTCAAGGAACAACAATGTAAACAAACAATGGCATCCAAAGTGGTGTGTATGAAACTGGTTTTACGTGGCAGCATTAACATCATTCCGATTTTACCGATTATGCTAATGTGTCAAACAGCACTCACATTCCACATGTGGAGAGGCAGTATTTTTAGATTACGCATAGGATACTTCCTCACTCCTCGACTCCTCCAGGTGAAATGGAAGATAGTAAGTATAATAAGTATTAGCATAAGGTTCTCCTGCCTCTGCTCTCTCTCTGCTCACCATTCACCTGTCTTCAGGATTAGCTGCCTGCCAGCCCGTCTCATCATCTGCCATCAACCAACCCTCATTCCCTAGATTTTCTCTGCCAGTACCCACCTTTCCACAGATAACTCCCCATCACCTCAGCCTCAATCTCCAGCCTGGGTTCAAGAGGGTGAGAGATGTGTGTGCATTTAATTTTTTCTCTTTTTTTGTGCTCTTTCAGTGTGTCATAAGCTGCTGTGCCAAGCAGTCCTATGGTAGCTAATGGAAAACATAACAAAAGAACAGTCCCCATTGTTGATTTTCAGATGCTAGAAAAAATAAACAAAATACACACAATAATGCAACAATTGTGACTCACCATTCCTGAACAGAAGATCTACCCACACTGTGCACCAGTCTACTCTGTGACGATGACCTTTGCAACAGTAACGAGTGTGAGTATGACAACGCCATTGTTGTCCATTTAGCACTGAGTTGCTAACTCTGACTGAAGCTCTGGAAAACACATGAACAGTACAGGTGACTTTTACATGATTCAGTGCCAGGTAGAGCTAAATAAAGGCTGCAGGGAAAGAGCAAGTACTCAGAATGTGGGAGGCTTGATTCACTAAAAAGGTTTAAGCCAGTGACTGCTGCAGGGTATTCATGTACTCAGCGTATTGTAGCCTGTGTTTTCTATGACACATCTCTTAATGTTCTCTATGCATTTACCCTGTATAGATTGTCTTTTTGCAGCCAAACTGGACACACATGTCAAGGAAAACCACTCTCACTAATTTAAAATGTGTAAACGTCAC